CAAGAAGGTTTCGGTCATCCCTTGAGGGTGAGTCTAGCCCTGCTCGCCAGAAAGACCACCCCCTTCGCTACAACCCATGTCTAAGCAAAAGCTTGTCGAGGAGCGAGGGAAGAAAGGAGAGTGGTGCTCAACGGCAAAAAAAACATGGAACATTTCACAGAAGCGTTTTTTCTTGAACACATACCGAGGCGTTTTTCCCCGGAAACGTGAAAAGAAGGAGCCGGGATTTTTCGGGGCTTGCTACTTTCACGGATCCGTGTTTTTGACAGAGCATCGGACAAGTGCACCGCGGGCACTGTAACATCACTGAGAACGCTAGAAAGACCTGCCAGGCTCACGTCCAGTCTGTTGTGGAGGTGGACAACCGGCAGAAGCGGCGTTCAGTCCGTTTTTGGTCCAAAACTAGACATTGCGTGGTGTTCTCGTCTTCAGCTGCTGCTGTTGGTGCCGGGGATGTTTTTTCAATCACACATAGCAAACTCGGAAACAGTAGAACGGGTACAGCAGCAGCACCAAGATCTCCAACGCGCTGATTCCTTCGGTTCGGCTGTCTACGTGATACCATCTCCCGGCGCCGTACTGCTTCGTGGGTATTGGGTGCTTGGGTGCTGCTCAATAAGGTGTGTGAGAGACGTGTGCCACCTCACCAAAATGCCGTTGGAAAAAATGCGGCGAGATGTCCTGTTTTTGGTCGGACACGTCAACATCAATCCACGGCACCACGCAGCAGAAGAGCAGCAGTGCCTCTGACACGCTTATTCTTTCGGATTGACCATCTATATGATGCTGGCCGTCAGCGCGGCTGCCGCCTTATGATTGTTGAGCTCGTCTACCTTCGGGCAGGTGGTGGTCAAAGATGGGAGTCGCAACCGTGGAAATGAGCTGGCAAACTGAAGAAATCGCAAGCAACACCCAGGTTGCGACACTCTGCCCTGTGCCTGTTGTTGCTGAAAACTGAAAACAGCAGGCCGGGTGGATAGGATCTTTCTAAGTGTGTTGTCCTCTGTGTCGGGTGCTGCTCATTGCGCTTTTACCGCTGCTCTATGGTGAGCTACACCAACTCAACCTGTTGTGTGCCGAGCAAAGCGTGTATTCAGGGAAGGAAACGTACTTTTTGCGATGACATCACGAATAGAACAAGCGAAAAAAAGCCGTGTTTTCTTGTCACCGTTCCGTGGAAATTTCACTACTTTTCCGAAGCATTAAGAACCACCCTCACGTCATGATTATTTCGGATATATATATTTTTTTGTTCTCGGTCGAGGGGGAAAAAATATCTGGATCCAAACGACCTTCTTGCGGTTCCTCGACGCATATTTTTCCTCAGGGGAAAAATAGGGGCGGTTCAAGTCTTGTGGGTCACAACACTTCACGGTTTTGGCTCGTGTGCGACCAACAAGACACCGAGCGCCCTGTTTTTGGGTCGCCTGCTTAGGGCATGTGCATAATCGCACGCCAGTGACTGCAGTTTGTGGATGTCGTCGGCCAAAGGCCTCTCTCTGGCATGCGTTGTGGACTGATCACGCTCGGAGCAACCCGAAAAAGAAAGGCAACGTCCAAAAAGTCAACATCGCAACACACTTCGGTTCACCTTTTCAGGTCGTGTGCAATCAATACTGGACAATACGCTCCGATTCTGGGACGCGAGCAGAGCGTATGTGTATGATCACACGCCATTGGCTGCAGTTTGTGGATGTCATCGGGCGAAAGCCTCCCTCTGGCGTACGTTGTGGACTAGTAGCGGGTGACACACGGAGCAAACCCGCGGCGGAACAAGAAAAAAGCCCAAAAATTCAACACCGCAACACACCTCGGTTCACGTTTACAGGCCGCGTGCAATCAAAACTGGACAATTCGATCTGTTTCTGGGACGCGAGCAGACGGTATGTATATGATCACACGCCACTGGCTGCAGTTTGTGGATGTCGACGGGGTAAAGGCTCTCTCTGGCGTGCGTTTTGACTGGTCACACATGCAGCAGGCACAAAAACGGCTCTTTTCGGCCCAAAGGCAAGAACGGTAGCAGAGCAATGCGGCGGGGTTGACGTTATCGGCTCGTGTGCGGCCAACACGACGCAGAACGCCCTGAATTTTAGATCCCTGCAGAGGGTTTGTGCATGACCTCATGATACTGGCCGCTGTTTGGCCAGCAGACGGTGTAGTTGCTCGTTCTGGCACGATCGGGGTGTGACCAGGGGGTGACCCCCCCCACTTCCAGGCTGGAAATTATCAGCCGATCCAGTTTGGAAAATTGGCTTATTTTCCAAGGCGGCAGCTGGGATCCTAGGAAATATTCGGCGATTTGGAATTTGGGCGTTTGGAATTGGCCGAATTCCTCCGCGTAAGACTCTCAAATAGTTATTTGGGCTGAGGAAACGACCCCCCTCCCAAAAAAGTATCCCGAAATGATCACGACGTAAGACTCGGTGTTCCGGCTTGATTATTTCGGAGTTTTTTTTTCTCTCGGTGGGAGGGGGTGGTGGTCTGCATGGGAAAATATATCTGGATCCAAACGACCTTCTTGCGGTTCCTCGAGGCATGTTTTTTGTCTCCGAGGAAAATAATGGCCGATTCAAGATTTTTGGGGGTTACAACATGCTTCAATTCACGGTTTTGGCTTGTGTGCGACCAACAAGACACCAAACGCCCTGTTCTTCGGTCGCCTGCTTAGGGCATGTGTATCATCGCATGCCAAGGCTGCAGTTTGTGGGTGTCATCGGCCAAAGGCCTATGTCTGGCATGCGTTGTGGACTGATCACGCTCGGAGCAACCAGAAAAAAAAAGGCAACATCCAAAAAAAGTCAACACCGCAACACACTTCCGTACAGGCCATGTGCAATCAAAACTGGTATGAGTATGATCACACGCCACTGGCTGCAGTTTGTGGATGTCAACGGCCAAAGGATCTCTCTGGCGTGCGTTTTCAACTGGCCACACATGCATCAGGCGCAAAAACGACTCTTTTCGGCCCAAAGGCAAGAACGTCAGCAGAACAATGTGGCAGGGTTGACGATTCCGGCTCGTTTGCGACCAACACGACGCAGAACGCCCTGGATTTTGGATACCTGCAGAGGGTTTGTGCATGACCTCATGATACTGGCCTCTGTTTGCCCAGCGGATGGTGTAGTTGCTCGTTCTGGCACGATCGGGGTGTGACCAGGGGGTACCCCCCCCATTTCAAACAACGATATTCCAACCCGATCGCTGTCGGAAAATGGCCCTATTTTCGAACAAGCCGGCCGGAATCGCTGCTGGATGTTGGGCCGTTGGATTTTGGGCTGTTGGATTTTGGGCTGTTGGAGTTTGCCATTTTCCTACCCGTAGGGTACCCAAATGATTATTTGTGCTGAGAAAAATACCCCCCCCCAAATCCAATCCGGAAAAAATCAAGCCGTAAGATTCAGTCTCTGTTGAAAACATACCAGCAAGAAAAGAAGGTACTCGCTCCACCACTGACCAGAGGACATCTAATTTTAGGTTTTGGGCAATCCTCGCGGCTTATTTGCCTCGGTGAGGAAACCAACAATAGAGAACACTTAGATTCTTGCATAGAGCAAGTGCACAGCCGTATTTCTTCGCGACCCAGGGTGAAGCGTGAAAAAATCCAACCCATGCCCCAAAAACAATTGGTCGCTCTCAGGGAAGAGAGAAAGAGGAACAACACGCGTTGTAAAAATGATAAACGTCTGTCTTGGCACTTTGACCCACCGCTCGATTCACGGGGCGAACCAAACAAGGCGTGCGTGCCAAACCACCGATGTTCAGGGCGTTGCTTGTGGTATGTTCTGCTTTGAAGTGTGCGCCCAGCCAGGCAGGCAAACAACATTGTCTGGGGATTTATGATTGTTGATTGGTCGACTAAAATTGCCGATACAGGTACCGCAGCAGCTGCTGCGATGGCAAAACAACATGAGATGTGGGCCGCAGTTGTTGACAGATTCTCTACGGTAGACGACACACATGAACACCGCTCCGTTTATCCCCCCACAGCTGCGGTCCGGCTCTGTTGTGCTAACCGCGGCGTGATCTGTCTCGACTTTGCAGCCACGGAGAATCACGGAGGACTGCGGCACCGAAAGGCGGCACGAGAGGAGAAAGGGCTTACCGGCAGCTGCACGCCCGGCGCACTCCTTTCAAGGACATCAACACCACGGCGTCCACTTGTCTCGAGTCGACTCGTGACACGACAGACGCTGCCGCAGCGACAAGTGGTAGCAGTGACGCCGCCGCCGCTGCTGACACTAGCCATGAGAGCAGAGGTCGCACGCGAGAGAGGTCTCTCAGCTGGCACTGCCGCCAGAAACTCGGCGGCGATCTACAACAGCAACAACAGCCTCCTGCGACGACTCCGACGTATTCCTCTTCCGCCTTTTGTCCGTCTCCTTCTGCGTTCAGCAGCTACAACAACACCAACATGCTGATCGACAACAGCGGCAGAATCAACGACGGCAATTGCAGCTGCTGTACCACCCCGCGACAGCAATATTTTTGCTGCGAGTCGATGCTGCGGAGCACTAGTTGCGGCAGTAGCATCAGCAGTGGCAACGAGTCAGCAGGCGAAAGAGAAGGAGGGACGAGCCGTGAGGCCCGGGGGAGGCGGGGGCGGTCGGCTGGAGAACCGGGCGGCAAGGAGAGGGGGTCAGGAGGGGCTGGGTGTCGCGAGAGCATTGACGCGGAAGAATTGTTTCGCCGGAAAAACAAGGTGCCTCCCATGAAATTCTGATGTACGTCAAGTAGCCACCTGATTGTTGTTGTTGCTGTTGTTGTTGTTGTTGTTGTTGCTTTTGAGCAGAACCTTGCTTCCTGTCGCTGTGGTCGTCTTGCGGTGCGGGCAGATGGCATCCTTCAACGTGACCTACGGGAGGTGGGCGGAGAGCTACGACCGCGGCATGGCCAGGCGCGCGTCCCTCGAGCGGAGAGAGCGCCTCGAGATCGAGCGGGAGAACGACCTCAGGCGCCAGCGCGCAGAGGAAGAGTTCCAGGTGCGACGCCTACGCCTCATGCTTTGCTTGCCATTTTTTCGGGTTTCTTTCCGCGGAGATGGTGGTCTACGCCTTCAGGAGAAAGCGGGAGAGAAAAGCGCCAGGACCAAGCGGTTCCTGAAGTTCCTGCTTGGATGAACATCACCTCTTCCATCGCGAGAGAACCCTACTTCTCGTAGCTCTGGAGGTCATGTTATTTGCAGGCCGCCACATTCCCTGGAAGTTCCCTCTCGCTCCCGTTTAGGTCTTAACGGTAACAGACCACCTGGTTGCATTAAGGATCCAGGACCTTAATCCACGTCGTAGACCGTAATGCCAACATTTCCCACGAACCGTTTGAATCCGTTTTGGTTTTTCTGGGGGAAGAGGGTGACGGTTGCAATGGCGTTTAAGGTGCGTTGCTTTCCTCTGAGGCAAAACTACGGATTCTCCTACTTTTCTGCTGCTCTGTTCTCCAGAAGTGGATGCGGAGCCACGGACGGCGATCGACTTCTTCTTCAGGTGACACCGTTGCTGCTGCCGCTGCTGCCGCGACTACGCCCACCGCCACGCCTGCTCTTGGCGCGAGATCGTCTTACCACGAACGAGCTTCCTCCGCTTCCCCTCGCCGCCGACGGCGGCGGCTGACTCAAATCAGGAAGGAAGCATGGACGGACGGGGAGCGGGACAAAGGGGTCGGCGGAAGCGGTAGCACACTTCGCAGCCCTTCCAGCCGCCATTCGCCGTTCGCTTGGAGCGAAGAATCGGCCCCTTTCTCCTCGGCGGGAGGGCGAGGGGATGAGGGCGGTGTTGGGGTTGGCGGTAGCGGTAGCGGCCGTTGCGGCGGCGACGAGGAGGAGGAAGAGAGGAAGCGGAGACGGGGAGAGGAGGAACAGCGGCGGCGGCGCGACAAGGCGAATCGAGCCTTCCGCGAGTGGCTCGGCCGCAAGAAGGGGGAGGCGCAGGCCGACCGTGAGGTGCAAAGGCGGAAGGAGGAGAATCTCGAGAAAATTAGGTGTGTGTGTTTCTGCTCTGTGTGTTTGTCGTTGTTCCACCGGGGTACTTGTGGGGGGCTTGGTTTGCACCCAATACGCAGCCCATGGTGATTCGACATTCTGGCCGATAAACCAAGCGGGACGCAGCAGAATTGGTGGTCCCGTACGCATTTTCGTGCGGGTGAGTAAGTAGGCGGGTGACACAGATGGCTGTTGGGAATGACTAATTTACTTTGTAAACTCGACCAAAGTTGTATGCATTCGTTTTCTCTGAGGACCTGCCGGCCGGTGGCTGCGGGGGAAGTCGCGTGTGCTCCTTGAGAGTCTACAGCACTACGGTAGTCCACCCCTGGCACTAAACCGAACCTCGGCTAAGGGTATATGGTTGCGTGGGTGGATGAAGCAAGGGATCGCTACTAGACGCGCCTCCCCCACCCCCCTTCTCAATGTTGGCCTTGTCGAGGTTTGGAGCAACGCATCCCCACCGCGGAACCCCAGTTGCCCGCGCAGTATATCACAGCTGCTGTTACCATAGGCCGGCGCGACACTTGTGACATTTCATCGCTGCAAACCCTCACGAAAATTGTGCGCGCGAATGCAGGGTTTTGGAGGTGTCGCGGCGGTGGAAAAAGCGGCCGGTTGTCTGCGCCTACACGTACGGCGCGAAGGTCGGGGCACGGGAGTGGCAGGACCGAGAGGAGGGGGTACGTACACAGGCGGAGGGAGGTGAGGGGCAGCAGCCGGAGGAGCAGGAGGCCGGGCGGGTGGCAAGCATGGGGGAAGGGATGGAGAAGGAGCGGGAAGAGGAAGAGGAGAAGGAGAAGGAACGGCAAATTGGCGTGGACCTGTAGAATATCGGGACGTGCAAGCAGGCACGGCGTGATGTCGGAGCCGGACGTGGAGCGCACGTACTTGCGCGCGAAAATGAGGGCGAGGGGAGCAGGCAAAGGTTCTGTCCGTGTTATTGCTGTACGCAAAGACGTTATTTTCTCTCGGGAGTGTTAACAAATGTGCGCAAATTGTACGGGTGAAGGAGAGCTGCGGGGGGGGCAACTTCTGTGACTACACACAGCATTGATTAAGAAATGGGGGGTCTGTCTTTTTTAGGGTACCGTAGGGTTAGGGTAGGCTCTGTCTTAGGTCCTATGCTATTGACAGGCAAGATGCCCACAGTTGGTGGTTGACGACGTTGTCCACGTCGTTCTTGTCGTGTGGAAATGATTATGGGGAACGGTTTCCGGTTGTCCACGCTGTCTGCAGACATAGTGTAAGGCACCAATACGCACGAAGGATTAGGATTTGTTACGGTGTGTGCGTCATGATTGGTGCATGGTACAGTTCAGCCAAGGTACACAAAGAGAAAAGTCGTCCGGAGCGAGTATGGACGCGTTTGGCGCGCTTGGTTTGGCTTGTGTTATCCTCTCTGCCCCTCACAGTTTGAGAGGTGCGATTGAGCGTCCCCAAGACACTCGTTGTACTTTACGGCGATCCCTTGTTCGTTGCTATTGTTGGATGTTTTTTTGTGTTTAATTTGAGCAGTCATTCGCCTTGGCGAAAAAGTCTGTTTGTGAGTTCCACAGGGGCGAGTTGCATTTATCTCTCGCAACGTGGTTGTTGGCACGAGTAATTGTGTGCATGTTGAAGCGTGGAAGGGGTGTTGTATGATTGCATTCGCACGCGGTGTACCGACGAACTAAGAGTTTCGTTTGGCTGTACATTTGCTTATGTACAGACTGTCAGCGGCGCAAGGACTCACTGCGTTGTGAACATGCGCACACCCCACTCCGATTTATAGCCACTGAAGGCACACAAACTTCTTGTTTTGATATGTAGAGACGGCGAAAACATGTGTACGCCAGCGAAGAGATAAGTAGGAAGACTTTTTCACAAGAGCAGGTTCCCCCCCCTGCGAACACTTGCAATGCTCGAGTGACTGGTAGGTGTGATGGTGCGATAGCGCTAGGTTTTTTGGGGAATCAATGGTGGGCATGATTGCGAGATTTCTTTTTAGCCGTCATAGCGCCAAGTCCAGCGCACCCTTGAAAGAAAGTAAATACGTGAAGGGTAAGCGGGGCTGGGGGGGGGACGGCGACATGGGTGGCAGTAAGTTTTGTTTGTCAAGAACTTTAGTGTGCAGGTCGGGGGGAGGGCGAGAGAGTCGATATGAATCGGCTGAGTCGGCGTCAAAATGAGATGTGTTTCACCGAGATTGGTGGCATCTGGCTTCTTTACCGCGAGCGCGACGGAAGAATCGATAGGCGAGTGATCTGGATGGTTCCTAAAATTCTAGTGAGGCGGGCTATCTCACCACCGGGTCTTGAGCGATTTGGAGGAGCGTGAAGGTCGTTTTTTTTGTTTGGGCATGCATGCCAGGCCGCTAGATTGTTGCTCGGCTCCGGACGTGCTCGAAGTGTGCACCAAGACAAGTTCTGCCACCCCTTTCACCGACACCATAAGGATGCGGGAGAACGCACGCGTCGGTGATATCGCACGGATTGGTGATATCGCACCCCCGTGCGATATTTCGTCAAGAGCGAAATGCTAATATGGTCGATCGCACCTCCGTGCGTTCTGTTGCATCCGTGAGCTGTATGTACCACGCCCCTTCGGTGAAATTGGTGTTGAATCAAGGTGAACAAGATGATCATATCACGCGTCTGTTGGGCATGCGCACAATAGCACCAAACTAAACCTTTTCGTCAAGTGCTTCGGGTCAAAAAGTGCCACCGCAATTTCACACGACCAGCTGCAACTACTTGACGGTCGGTTCTGTCCTTTGGCACTACTGGTTAAGAAAATGGCGTTTCGTGTTGCTGCAGAATGTTGTGACGGATGTTGACAGCAGTCGGTTCACATTATTAGGATCTATTTTGGGAGGAAAGGGTACAAGCGACCATCTATATGAAAAGGTCCCCGCAGTTTTCTGATTGGCCAATTTTTTTGAAAGGAAATTTCCTGTGGACGAAAATTCCATGGTCGACCGATGACGTCAGCCACGGTTGTGAGGTCGCCTTTTCGGGAAAACTCGAAAAATTCAAATTCCCCGTGATTGACCGATTGGTCTGATTGGTCTGATTGATGACGCCAGACTTCCACGGGAATCGCCGGCCCCACTTTCTTGTGCCCTGCCTGGAGGAAGGCATTTCCTACCGGCTCCTCCGATCCACTCTAGGCTGGG